TATTGAACAGAATCCGTCAGTTTATTATATCTGTGAGCACAAACCAGGGCCGGGCTTTCATTCTTCCCCGATAAATCAGCGAGACGGATCATATCCACTCGAATCTTGCTCAACTTTATAAAGCAAGTTCGCAAGCGCTTTATCAGTCAGCCAACTGAACAACGTTCACTTACAACACACTTAATCCGGGACATCGTGCCAATACACACTCGTACCACTCATCAGGCCAATGTCCCTCCCGAAGTTATTCCAGCCCAAACAGGTTGGCGAGATCACCGTCCAACATCGGATTGTCCTCGCGCCTTTGACGCGCAACCGAGCGAACAAGGAGCATGTTCACGGCGACCTCGCAGTGGAGTATTACTCTCAGCGTGCGAGCATGCCCGGGACGCTGCTCATCACCGAGGCGACGTATATCGCGCGGAAGGCAGGCGGGTACCCGCACGTCCCGGGCATATGGAGCGAGGAGCAGATTGCTGCGTGGAAGAGGGTGCGTGCAATTGACCTGTATCTCGTATCCTGCGCGCAATTATGAGATGTTATCGACTTGGAACCACAGGTGGTGGAAGCCGTCCATGCTCGCGGAAGCTACATCTTCCTCCAACTGTGGGCGCTCGGGCGACAAGCCTTCCCGGCTGTTCTCGAATCCGAAGGCCTTCCTCCCTCATCGTACGTCTCCTCTTCCGACGTACTCCTCCTGGAAGTTTCCTCCACACCACCACGCCCGCTCACAACGGCGGAAGTGAAAGAGTATGTGCAGCTTTACGCGACCGCGGCGAAGAACGCGGTGCACGGGGCGGGGTTCGACGGGGTGGAGGTGCACTGCGCGAACGGGTACCTGCCGGACCAGTTTCTGCAGGACATCTGCAATAAGAGAACGGACGAGTACGGCGGATCGGTGGAGAACCGGTGTCGGTTCCCATTGGAGATAGTGCAGGCTGTCACGGAGGCTGTCGGGGTGAGGAAGACGGGGGTGCGGATTAGCCCGTGGGGCACATTTGGAGGTGCGTGCCCGCCCGCCTTCCTCCCACACAACTGAGCTTCGTTAATTTCGCGTTGGGACGTACAGGCATGCGCATGGCCGACCCCCGCCCGACGTTCACACACTTCGTGACGCAGCTGCGTGCGCGATTCCCCGAGCTCGCGTACCTGCACATGATCGAGCCGCGTACCACAGGGAACATTGACGTGTCCGACGTGCCGGAGGGCGACTCAAACGACTTTGTCCGCGACATTTGGGCGCCGCGCGTGATCATCAGCGCCGGCGGGTATACAAGGCAGATGGCAATTGAGGCTGCGGAGAAGTACGATTACTTGACTGCATGGGGGAGATACTTCATTTCCAATGTGAGTCACCTTGGCGCAGACGGTATGGGCGTACTAACGACGCACTGCGATTTGCAGCCGGACTTACCGTACCGTCTGCTGAAGAATATACCTTTGACACCGTATTCGCGGGATATGTTCTACATTGACGAGAGTCCTCGAGGCTACATCGACTATCCATTCGCAAGCGAGCCGCAGACGCAGTAGTCAGTGAAGGGACACGTACGGGGCTACATAGGAACTTACCATAACTTCGATCCACGATTAGATGAGCCTCGCTCGACGGATGTCTGAGTAAAGCGAGACGAATACTTATTCCCTCTCCGGGCCAGCCATCATCTTGTACCGCACTTGTAGCAGGCTCATGCCAATACCCATCGGCTCTTACGTTATGTGGGGTACTATACGATGGGACGGGAATGAAGCGATTGCAGTGGCAGCGAGAGGTATCTCAAGAGAAATCAAGACCCAGGTCGAACATTATAGTCTCACGAGCCTGAAGTAGAAGTTGAACGTCAGCCAGTTGAGAGCCCGAGGATAGCCTGAGATGCGAATCGAGCGTAAAAGCGAAAATGCGCTAGAAATAAACAACTACGGATGTCGATAGAATAACCAGCCGGAGGAGCGGATCGCCACTGGGATCCCAACACGTCGGAAGACTTCGAGAAGACATCTTCAGCACGGCTATTCTGGCGGCTTCCCGCTGCAGTGTATAATCGCCGGGATGGGGATAAAAATATCGTCAACAGGATATGCCGGAGGACATACCTCGAAGAGTTAGACTATGATAGAGTAGGCGGGATCATCAATAGTGTCACTCTCAAATTAGCACGTCGACGGTCGTTCGAAGACTGGCCGACCAATTGGGTAGATGGATGGGTAGGACGTCGATCCATCGCCGACATAAAGGTGGCCAGCTAAGCACCGACGTTCTACCCCGTCACCTCCGAAGGTTGAGGGTTCAGCAGGGGAAACCCCCTCCCCTCAGGCACGGAAGACGAGACAGAGCAGGCACGACAATCCGCGAGAGAGAAAACATATAGGGACCGGCCGGGGTACAAGCTGGTACAAGACTTGTGCATCATGCAACATCACTGCCACATGAACAACGCTAACGCCTGAGATCCGCCCGGGGCGAACGCGACATCAAGCCGCGAATCGCGTGATGCCCAGAATTGACGCGCAAAGCCCAGAGCGAGTCCCATGGGGTTATGTATTAGGGTTATGTGCTGCCTTAGCGTCCTCATACTAGTAACTCGCTCTTTGGTCACCGCTCGGTGAGTAGGATGTGGTTGTAGAAGATTCCACGAGATCGGAGGTCCAGCCCTCGGGGAGCCTAGGGGAGGCCTCCGCATCGGGGACTCCAGTTTGGTGCATCAGGGAAATGGCAATGGACTTGCTGGTGGGGAGTGGGCCTATTGGTCTTATTTCAGACTTTTGAGCTACTTACAGGCTCCTTAAGCACCCTATAAGGCGGGATAAGGCAGAATAGGCCCACTCAACTCTTATTCAGGCTTATTTCCAAAGAAAGTATGCCATAAGGGCCAAAAAGGAGTTTGCTGTTTTCCTGATGTGGGTGAATGACTGTGCTGCATCAGGAGAGAACTGTCAAAAAGTGGATTGGAGTGATTTCATAGATAAGTGCATGCAAAAGCATCTCGCAATGGCGCCGAAGCGCATACCAGGCCGACCCAGGCAAGCTTGCGTACGCTGCAACTCGGGGAGCTCTGTCGATTTCGAGAGGTCCATGGACGCGTTTCTGGCCATGGGGCGGGAGACCACGGGCCGTAAATAGCTTGACATTGACAGGTATAATAATAGCCTCCCGCGTGCTACTGGAGTCGAATCTGAGATTGCCTCGGAGATCTTTTTGAGCCAAGTGTAACGATTCGGAGGGAAATGATTCTGGTAATTCTGACGAGGGGATTGGACACCGCGGGTCGATGCGAGTACGAGTGGAAGAGCGAAGAGGTAGGTGAGCTAGTTGGTAGTCGGAGGGTAAGCTCAAGGATTGCTCCTATGTTATGTTTTTTTCGGTCTGTCCTACAACGGATCAGGGCGGAGGATGTTTGCCATTGCGCGAAGTTGCGAGATGATGCCCGGCGTTTGACTTGACCGAGGCAAAAATGTTGCGACCGGCGGGAGCACTGTTTGCCTCTTTTTAGTGATGCAACCGGGGCACGGGGACGCTCGGGGACGGATCTGGCCTTAAAGCGACCATTGCTGGGTATATGAGCGGTCCACCGGATACCACTGGCCCTGTACCATGCCAAGCTAAACTCTTATCAGCAAAGCTATGGCCAGGCACAGGTCGATATCATTTTTCCACAACGCTCCATGTGCTCTCCCCGCTAGCAGGACTTGCCGTATTTAATGCTGAAGAACCGCACACGACAGAGCGTCCGAGCTTCTCGTTCGTCCCTCCAGCCAGCGTCCCTATTTTAGGTGACTGCCTCAATCTCGCAACAAAAGACTTTACGTCTCTTGTCTTCACAATGGCTGGATTACAACGCGACGACGCAGTTTTTGCTGGGCTCGCCGAGGCCAACAAGGATGAGGTCAAGTTCGAAAAACAGGACCACTCGGTCTCGCTTGCGAGCACGAAGGAACACGACCACGAATACGAGGCCGACGGTATTCACGACGGGCTCGAGATCCCCACCACTGAGGAGCTCTCGACCCTCCGCCGTGTGTCCGACACCATTCCATGGGCAGCCTACATGATTGCCTTTGTCGAGCTTGCCGAACGCTTCTCGTTCTACGGCGCCAGCGTCGTCTTCACGAACTTCATCCAGCAGCCGCTTCCCGTCGGTTCGAACACCGGTGCGGGCGGTGCGGATGGCCAGAGCGGTGCCCTCGGCAAGCACCAGCAGACCGCTACCGGTCTCACCACCTTCAACCAGTTCTGGTCAGTTCTTCTGCTCATTAATAACCGCAATACACGACTGATTGTCCACAGGTGTTATGTCGTTCCACTGTTCGGCGCGTACATCGCCGACACAAGATGGGGTCGCTTCAAGACCGTTTGCGTCTCCGTCGGAATCGCCATGGTCGGCCACATCCTCCTCGTCATCTCCGCCATTCCCCCCGTCATCGTCAACTCCAACGGTGCCCTCGCCTGCTTTGTCATCGCCATCGTCATCATGGGCTTGGGCACAGGAGGTTTCAAAGCCAACATCTCCCCGCTCGTCGCCGAGCAGTACAAGCGCTCCAAGCCATTCATCCAGACCACCAAAGCCGGCGAGCGCGTCGTCGTCGACCCGGCCTACACCACCAGCCGCATCTACATGTACTTTTACTTCTTCACCAATATCGGCGCTCTCATCGGCCAGATCACCATGGCGTACTCGGAAAAGTACGTTGGCTTCTGGCTTGCATACCTCCTCCCGACCATTGTCTTTGCCTTGTGCCCGCTTGTCCTTGCCGCCGGCGCCAAGCGCTACAAGCGCTCGCCCCCGCACGGCTCCGTGTTCGCAAAGTCCCTCAAGCTCTGGACGTGGTGTCTCAAGGGCACCTGGAGCTGGAACCCCGTGCAGTGGTGCAGGAACGTGACCGCCGACGGCTTCTGGGACAAGGCCAAGCCGAGCCATGTCGTCGCGACGAATGGCACGAAGCCCGCCTGGATGACGTACGACGACCAGTGGGTCGACGAAGTCCGCCGTGGTTTCAAGGCTTGCGCGGTCTTTGTATTCTTCCCGATTTACTGTAAGTTTCGATTTTTTGTTCCACGCGCTGTTGTTCTTATAAGCACCCGACTGCAGGGCTCACGTACAACCAGCTGAACAACAACCTGACGTCGCAAGCCGCGACGATGGCCACGCACGGCGTCCCCAACGACGTCCTCTCCAACCTCGACCCCTTTGCCCTCATCATCTTCATCCCCGTCTGCGACCTGCTCGTCTACCCGGCCCTCCGCCGCGCCGGCATCCACTTCACGCCCATCAAGAAGATCACGCTCGGCTTCTTCATGGGCTGTGCGGCGATGATCTGGGCGTGCGTCCTCCAGCACTACATCTACAAGACGAACCCGTGCGGGTACCAGGCCGCGACGTGCACCGACGCGGACGGCAACGCGCTCACGAGCCCGATCAACGTCTGGGCGCAGACGGGCGCGTACGTCCTCATCGCCTTCTCCGAGATCTTCGCGTCCATCACCGGGCTCGAGTACGCGTTCACCAAGGCGCCGAAGAACATGCGCAGCCTCGTCATGAGCGTCTTCCTCTTCATGAGCGCGCTCGCGAGTGCCCTCGGCGAGGCCTTTGTCTCGCTCTCCACCGACCCGCTGCTCGTGTGGAACTACGGCGTCATGGCCGTCCTCGCCTTTATCGCCGGCACGCTCTTCTGGATATGCTTCCGCCATCTCGATCAGCAGGAGGACGCGCTGAACTTGATTAGCGAAGGGCACCTTGCTTCCCCGGAGAAGGAGGGCAAGGCGGCATGAACAAAATGTGGAGGGTGCTTGTACTATGGGGCGTGTTATTCTGGGTTCTCATGTAGTGTGTTATGTATTAGACGATTGATGACTAATGAATGACTACGTGTCCGCGTCCAAGCTCTGTTCCGTGTGGGGACATGAGATAGCCTGTATGTGCAGAAGAACGGGTAAGTGACTAGATGCTGGTAGTGCCACGTCGAGTGCTTGCGACAACACTATACCCTGGGACAAGCCTTAATGTATTATGTATGGAAGCATGCTTTACACACGACGGTCAAGTACCTTACACACGACGGTCAAGTACCTTACACACGACGGTCAAGTACCTTACACACGGCGGTCAAGTGCCTCGTACCCTATGGACAAGTGCCTCGTACTCTATGGGCAAGTGTCTTATACACCACGAACAGGTGTCTTATACACTGAGGACGAGTGCCTGATACACCTCGGACGAGTGCCTTATAATGCCACGGACAAGTGCCTTGTACGCCATGGATGAGTACTAGTGCTTTCTGCACTACAGTTTACAGACGAGTGTTCTGAACACTACCATCAAGTGTCTTATGCACCACCTACCAATATTTTTTACACCACGGACAAGTGTCTTGTACACCACTTACGAGCAGTTTTATAATATGGACGAGTGTCTTATACACTTCAGATGAGGGCCTTACATGCTCGAGACGGTGGGCATCTATGAGTCACCTAAATAAGAGCCTAACGGAGGGCAAGTGCATCTGTGTTTTCTCGCGCAGCCAGAACAAATGTAAAGCGGTGGTGTCCTACACGCATTTTTTCATGCACCCATTGGCTATACTGTACAACAGTCATGGTGATACTAATAAAATGTATAACATTGAGATGCCGCGAGGGAACATCACTTTGATCAAGCAGCGCGTGAGATGACAAGATGAAAAGACAAGGCATGAGGAAACGAGCGTGCGGGAGCAGCGAGACCGTCTTGGAGGCTGCTGGAGAGAGAGGGAAAAGCGACTTGGAAGGGAACAGACGAGACTGCCAGAGGAAGAAGCACCGCAGACGAGATCTCAAGCATCGACAAAGCGACGCCCGAGAGACAGGGATGATGATGGGAAGCCAGAGGCAAGCGTAGTCGACAGCGAAGGAAGCAGGACGCACAGACAATACCAGAGCACTGAAGAAGCCACGAGGCTGCGAGAGAACGCTGTGGACAGGAGGTAGAGCTTGTTCCTTTGCGCACAGAAGGCACTGTGAGAGGCGATGCCGTCAACTGACCGCACTTACGAAAGAAGACTGAAGGGCTGCAAATTGAATACAGTGGTTCATGGTGAAGCACAGCGGCGCACCTTAACCTCGTTTGGCGAGGACGGATGGAGGCCACGCTGCCACTCCCTCTTTCACTCGCTTAGGGTTTTGCTTCTGTTTACCCAAAGCTTTGGCCTGGTTGCTGCGTGTCTCTGTCTCCGATGTAGTCCGTCCAGGAACGTCTGCACGCGATTCCGCGGACCCCTAGAATCAATGTTACCCACGTCCGTATGATTGATGAAATGCCTGAATTGCGCTTGCCGCTGCAAGATCGTCCTCTCCAACAACAGCAGACTCCTGCTTGACGACTCTCTTCCGTGTGACAGAGGATTGTACCGATATCACTCTTCGACTTTCAGCGTCAGAAACCCTGAAGTACGGTCGTTTATGTAATCGCATAACGCCCTGATGCCAGCCAAATCGTTAGACATGAAACTACACGCTTCGAAACGTACCACTGATTCACTACCGCCATCGTCATTTTCTTGAGTACGCTTCCCGCCAACCAGGAGTCGTCTTGCTGTTTCGTCAGATGTCTTTGTGCTTGACTTCTGATTGCTGGATAGTTCCTCTTTTACTTTGTGGCGAGTCTCTCTCATGCCCATTCCGCTGATCTTCAGGTCGAAGGCCTGTTCCTGCGAGATGCCGTGCATTATGCAGAGAATCCCTATGACAAGCTCCGGCATAAGGAACAGAGTGACGAAGGACCGCGCCCTAAATGGCGCGATTAGATAAGGATCCATATCGTCGGCGGGAAACATATCAGCGAGGGTAGAAGCGAGGACATTCTTGCCATCCTCGCCAAAGCTGTGGTTGCTGACTGTCACGCACAAGCATAGTGACGAATACATCACTCACTAATCAGCCGCTGTGATGACATTCACAGAATCGAGCACCTCCGTGCCCAGCACCACGGGGTAGTCCCGAGATGCGAGGCAGGTGACTGGCCTGACCTCTTCTTCCAGGCATTTCCAGATGAAAGACCGTTCCTTTGCATTTAAGACCGCCTCGATCCGCTCTCGCGACGCCAGGCAAAGTCTCTCAAGCCTGGCAGCGTCATACAGTGCATCTCTGAGGTACGTCAGTAAAATAGCAATAATAGCTGAGGACAAATCATACGTGAAGCCCCCCTTCTTGTGCGCCTTCTCTACCTTGGTTTCTCTGTTTGCTCGAACAGCTGACGCTGCGAGAAAGGAGTCGACTTTGGGCGGACCTTGCTCTTCACTGCGGCCCCCCACCGAACCTACTGTACGAGTGTCAGATCCCGGCGTCTAAGTATTCACATCGTGCTCTCACCACCCCCTGTATGCATCTCTTCGTCTTCACTATCATCTCGGGAAGTAGTATCATCGACATCTTCGACAGCAGTGATCGAGTCCGAATTATCGTGATCTTCCCCCATTTCTGCCTTGTGAGCTACGTCAATGCTATACTTCACATTCTGCAGCTTGGTCGTGATCATGTCTCGAATCGGCCAGCCATCCTCAAATCGTTCGAAATACTTGTATTTCTTGACAAGCTAGAGCGGCAGCGATGTGTCATTAATTTTACCCATAATATCGAGGGAAGCCATAGATACGTTGACGATGCAGCGTTCAATAGCCATTTTCTTCTGTCTTCTTACAGTGCATCCGGGCTTCAGCAAATCGTTCATCTCAGTATGAACAAGCGTCTGTAAATGTTATTAAGTCAGTACAACTAGCAGAAAGCCGTCGCTATATGCGCCGCCGTGATCGCCTCCATGACCTCAATGTATGCGCTCAAAATGCAATTAACCGAACGACGCGGCATCCCGACAGTACTCTAGATAAACTGATAGAACTTCAGAGGGCACGAACCCTTAACCGTTTATATCTGCCAGGGTCGTTCTTGAGCCCCATTGCGTCCTGAAGGTTGTAGCCGCCCTTCGCACTCGATCGACCGGCTGTTCCTCGGGGCTTTGGAATTAAAGGGCCTTGATAGCTGTTATGACCGTTCTGCTCATCGACTTCTGCGATCTCGTATCGCGCAAACTGAGCAGATGAGTTTTTTGTAACTGTCGGTTGAGTTGAGTCCGGACGGAGGCCGTTATTGCAAGTATGTAGCTCCAAGCCTTATGCTCACCTTTCGAAGATACCATAATCTGTACACTATCTCGTTTGTCGTCAGATGTCTACGGTGCAGAGTGCAGAGATGCGTGGGCTTTCCGTCGACCGTCCATAAAGAGACGTGCGTCACATGGAAGGCATTGGAAGCAGATAAATCATGTGACTGGAGTCACTGAGTCACTCCGTTACACTTACATGTGTACTTTAGACAGGCCGCAACACCAGGTCTTAAGAACAGGCCGCGTTTTAGTTTCGTGTACACTAGTATGTTCAACGTGTAACTCTAACCCACCGACCCCCCTAGGTTCCTCCGAATCCCGTATACGTAGGTTGGGGCGCAAACCAATGGAGTGATGCATACTACGTCTGCTAGAGGGTTCCTCTTCGTCATTCACTCCAGACTGTAGTTTCCGGGTCGTAAATGATGTCACGCTCCTCCTGCGAAGGTACATAACACGACCAAGTGCCTATACATCGAAGGCTCAAACGCCCGATAAACTAAAGTACCATCATGTCGACGACGCACTACAAGGGCAAGGTACGCTTTTTATTTCCCTAGAAGACGAGCAATCGATGTCCGACGGTTGCTTATAGCCATTCGACGATGACAACGCTACGGGCCTAAGCGGCGGAGTCAACCAGAAAGACGCGCTGAAGAACGTCACCTCGACGTCGAACAATCCTGTGAACACAGACAGCCTTTCAGGGCAGGCGAGCCATGACCGCGAAAAGGGAATGGGATCTACTGCTTTCGTAGGCTTCCCTTTCGTCTCTTGTCTGTGCTGCCGTCTGACGAAGTCATTGTGGGGATCGGTAGAGTCATAAGCAGAGCGCCGATGCGCACCCTGACACGCGCCAGGAGAAGGGCCCTGGCGGGCATCGGGAGGCGCTGGGCTCAAGAGGACCTAATGAAGAAGGTGAGTATCCCAGCTGAGGCTCTAGTGGGACCGGTGCGACGTGCTCTGGATTTATAGTCGCTGATAGCAAGTTCGTGGAATCACTGAATGAGGCTGGGAAGAGGCAGCAGCAGAAGGGATCGACCGCTATCTGAGAGGACCTTGAGACTAAGAGAACCGAATAGCATTTGTATAACATAGCATAATCAGAGCAGTTTCGTGCTTGGATCGTGAGCGACATCATTACTGCACCTCATCGACATCGTCGCAGATGGTCTTCTGTGGCCACTGGTCAGACATTTATGAGCCTCGCGTAAAGTATAGGGTGCTTCGTGCATGAATGCTATAGCAGAATTATTTCTTTGCAATGCCCCTGCTCTGCAGGGGTTTCTGGGACCTCAAAATGCCACCCTACCGGCATTGGCTGAATGCACCGCGGCCACAACTGCAGCACTTACAGTGCTTTGCATAAAAGTCCGGAAACTGCGTTTCGCGCGTTTCTCAGCCAAACAATACCTTATAGGGTAACACCTGACCGAGGGCGCGACGGTTCCTCGAGTCAGCCTATATCGCTCCTGGGACACAAATGCCCGTCTCAAGGCTGAGTAACGTTTAGATCTGTATCTTTTCAGCATATCGAGCACGCCGAGGTCAAAATCCCCCAAGAACGACCCTCATACATGGATATCGAAGCGTCCCGCCAACCAGTCAACAGCCCGCGCTACGGTGATCGACTACCCCATATAGGTTTGTTCGGCTGGCACAATTTAGTGTTGTTCACTAAGTGAAGTCAAAGTCCTTTGAAGTGCGAAATTGGCGGACTTCATTTGAATGAAGTCACTTTAAAGTCACTTTGAAGACTTACCAAAGTCGCGACTCACAAAACAGTCACTTTCTCACGACTGTGGCAACTTTTTGCGGAGTCCTCTCCTCCCTCGTTGCTTGATTTTATGCAGCATGTATTGCACATAGAAATGTATGCAATGTTCATAATTATGTACCCCCTCGTCAGGAAGGTGCATCTCCTAGAATTGAGCTGCTGCGTCCACCCGATCATTCATGAGCAGGTCCCGGAACGTCTCCCCGGAAGGCCCAGGTTTGTGTAACTCTCGAAGCTCATTTTCTGTCACTATCTAGTCGGCCGTAAAGTCCAATTGCCCATGCCGGTAGATGCCAGAGGCATCAGTTAGCATATGGGAGCAAAACTGGTGGACAAGCATGAGCCTCGAAATTGCCGCAGAAACAATATTAGGGGCACCATGGTGGTGTACTCGACATACTGGACAACATCCCATTTCACTTCAGTTTTATGGATTTTCTTGCATTTTTATCGTCGCCAGAACACGCACTTTACCCGCCATCGGCTATAGCCATCAATGCGTCGGGTTAGACCGCTCTCCTGCCTTATAAGGGAGGTAATTCGGTCTGCCTTCGGGGGACCAGTCTCGAATTGCTCAATTAGGCAATCACATGATTCTATCACTGACTTCATGAAGTCTTCAAAGCGACTGATGACGACTTCAAAGGGACGTGAAGTCATATAATCTTAAAGTGAAGTGAAGCGCACTTTAAAGTCACTTCACTTCAGGAACAACACTAGCACAATTTCACGAATCGCGGTTTCCGGACTTTTATGCAAAGCACTGTAGCATTGACAGATAACACAAACTTAAAGCCGAGACAAATGTAAGAGGCTAAGAGCAGTAGCGTACCATCAAACTTGAAAATCAGCTAGCCCTGGTTGCAAGCAGCCAGAGCAGGGGCAGAGATGCCGACGTGAAGTCGGCACTTTCGAGTACATGTCGTGGGTCGCAAATTATATCGCGATAAGGCTCCAACCATTTAGTTTACGTTTACAGATTCTTGTAACATAAACATAAACAACCAGTAAACTAAACAGTAAACAGCCTGTTTCGTATGATACCGAGGTAAAGTGACGTCTTGCTCCCTCTATAATGCCCGGATGCCTCCAAGAGCTCACGAGAGCCGTACGTGACATAGTCTACTAGAGATGCGCAGTTGCGCCGAGTTGCTCGCGCAGCGTTTCGTGTGGCGTGACGACACGCATGTCAAGGTTGTGGCACAGTACTTTGCTGAACAACCCAACCGACATCGTGTTACCGAAAATCTCCTCTATCTTGCCACCAGTTTTTGTGCCATAACAGTGTAAAAAAGGGTAGAGACAGCATGAGAGCTTTTCCAGCTTCGTTTTGTATATATTATGTGTTCTGTAGCGACTTATTGCTGGTGCTTGGTCTTTGTGGGTCCCTCAGCCACCGGGAGTAGACTTTGTACATGTTTGTCGCGGACTTCTGCCCTAGTGAAGAATTGCTCGCTTCGCTCGCAAACATACTGGGAGGACCGTCGAAGCCGGTTGTCCTTGTGGCTCGAGGGTACCCGCCACTTACCTTAAAATAGACTACCCACGAGGGAGGTCGGTAAGTCCCGAAGGACCGACGAAGTATCGAAAGCCTGTGGCACGGGGAGTACACTCTCCTGAGCCCCCCAAGTTGTCTATGAATTGAACATGGACAGCCTATACGAGCTTTCCGTGGTGCCAGATCAGCTCAAGCAGATGTTATATCTAACTGTTTGTTTACCCTTTATATACTGTTTACCCCGGGTTTACTGGCTTGACGCAAATAAACATAAACTTTAACACAAAAAAACCATTTAAAACAGTAAATAAACTAAAAGGTTGGAGTCTTATATCGCGAGGCCAGGTGGATTCTCGGAACCGCCGATCGATCCCAGCAGCGACCCTGAACGCGATTTGAGGTGCGATACGAAACAAATCCTCTCGGTGACGAGGATCATAACAGAGCGAGCAGTGATTGTTATGCCACCGAAGACTGAAATAATAGATACTGCCGTCTGCACTGAAGAGTAGATGGCCCCCGGCTGAGCGAACCTGAGTAAAATCTCGCTCGACAAAGAGAGTGCGGCTGCCAAAGCCCGGTGTGTTGATAGGGAGAGCGTCATCGGCACCGCGAGGTAACCAGGAACCACAAAGAGATACCGCGATTGCCTTTTGCGGATCTTACTTGCCTTTCCGACGTATTATTCTCACGCTCGGCCTTGTAACCGAGCCCCTGCCCGAAGGGAGATCATGTGCAGGTTTCCGACCGACGGACCAGTGCTCTTCATTTTGTGCAGCATTCACGCAGGGTTTCCAGAGACCAGGCCCGAAGGAAGACGGCTCCCGTTGACGACGACAGGGACAACGCCCGGAGCCGTCCTCGCGATTCTCTTGGCATGGCTACCGTATAAGAGCGCACGCTGTCCTGCCCCATGCCTTTCCCACTTTCCACCGAAGTTCTCCAACTTGCTTTGGTCGTTGAACGGCCGTTTCTTTGGCTCTCCGACCAGGTGTCACCACTTTCCTTCTTTTCTTCCTCGTCAGCGCAGTTCAGCCGTTCCCGCCCCTTTTCGACCTAAACATACAGACCTAATTCGTAGGACCAAGAACAAATCACATATCCCAAGATGTACTCGAAATCCCTGACAGCATTTGTCGCGCTCTCCCTCCTCAGCTTGTCCGAGCCAGTTCTCGGGCGATACCGGTGGATGGAGAGAGATGACAGAGCTGTTCTTTTACACCCTCGTCGTTTCGGTCAAGAGCACCCCGCCGTGATTGACAAGCTCTCCTCTGCCTGTCCTGGTCAGGTGTGTCTGGATGTTCTTACTTTCACCGTCTCCTTTTAAGTTAACCTTCTTGTATACTGAAAGGTTTGTGGCACGCTCGCAGGCCAAGCCATTACCCCGCTCCTGGCTGCTCAGGGCGAATGCACTCAGCAGGACATGGCCGACTCGATTATCGATGCCGCCCAGCAGTTCGATGACGCGACGAAGCAAAATATGATCCAGCTCGCGATCGAGTATCGTCAGGCGGAGAAGAACACCCCTCCCGACTTTACAACGAACCCACCCACGAACCGCAACTCTGTCTTCTGCCAGAAAGCGCCGAAGAACGCTGAGTTGAACGGTTTGGTGCAGGCGCAGGACCCCGGTGAGAATGTGTATTGATGTTGAGCGGAGGATCATGTGGCTGACAGGTTGACGTGTAGCTAACGACCCAGACGCGTTCTTCGACCCTGCTACCAAAGCGACAGTGAAGAAGGGCTCGCAAGCCAACACTTTCCCCTTCGGTCAGAGCGGTGCCACTGGTAACTCTTCCTCCAGCGTGTCCGCATCCGCTTCGTCCTCTGCTACGGCCAGCTCCGCTGGCGCTGGTAACAATGCCGCTGCAGCCACCACCACTTCCGATGCTTCTGCCACCGCTTCCGCGTCCGATGCTGCGACCACTGGTACCGACTGCGTTGTCACTGTGACCGCTACTGTTACTGCTACTGCTACCGGCGAGACATCCTCCGCTGCTGCCACTGATTCTGCATCATCTTCAGCCTCTGCTACTGCCGCGGCCAGTGGTTCCGCGGCGTCCTCAACTGCCTCCGCTGGTGCTATCGGTGACTTTGGCAAGTGCACAGTTCCCCAGATCGAATTCGGCGTAGGCTTCGACAACCGAAAGGAGACGTCGTTCCAGCCCGTCGACAAGACGAGCTACAACCATGGCAGCGCGCAGGGCATCCAGATCATTACTGACTTCATCTGTGATACGCTGACGAACAGCTGTGGCGCGGACCAGACAGCGAAGGATACGTGTCGCCAAGCGGAGACAGCTGCTTTGGCTGCGCCCGCGAAGACTGGTGCTCAGGCCGATGGTGCGTGTTCCCTGTTCTCCTGAGGGTTCTTGCACAGTAGTAAGTTGACGTTTGCGTAGCTTTCAACGCTGTGTTCGGTATCACCACCCAGTTCGCGAACGTTGCTGAGGTGGATGACAAGGGTCAGGTTGTCGCTGGCACTGGTAACGGCGCTGCCGCGTCCGCATCTGCTTCCTCCGAGGTTGCTTCCGCCACTGCATCGGTCTCCGCTTCAGCATCTTCCGCTGCAGCGACCAGCTCAGCCGCTGACGCTACCGCCACCGCGACTTCATCGAGCTCTGCTGCTGCCGCGTCCTCCACCTCCGGCTCCTCGTCTGGTATTGGTAACTTCGGTAGCTGCTCGGTTCCCCAGATCGAGTTCGGCGCCGGGTTCGACAACCGCAAGGAGACGAGCTTCCAGCCTACCGACAAAGCATCGTACGCTCACGATTCAGCGCAGAACGGCGATATCATCACCCAGTTCGTGAGTACCCTTCCGCAACCTCGCGCCTTGTCAGAGGCAGGCAAGACTGAGCGCTGACCTGGTTGGGACTGCAGATGTGTGACAACTTGGTGAACAAGTGCGGCGCGGACGACACGGCGAAGGCGACGTGTGCCAAGGCCAAGACCGCCTTCGACTCGAAGACGGCGAAGACAGGCGCCCAGGCTGATGCGTTCAACGCTGTGTTTGGGATCACTACCAACTTTGCGAATGTGCAGCCTTTGGATAACCAGGGCAAGGCTGTCAACCTCTAAGTCTTGAGCAGTTGGCTTTTTGCGTAGTTATTATCTTTGATTTCCAAAGGCATCGTGATTTGTTTTTAGGACTGTGTCCTATCCTATGATACCCTGTGTTGTATGTTTAGCTTTGAAGAGGGGCCCCCGTGACCCGGGCAATGGACCCGCACGATGGTTCCGAAAATGTGTAACCTTACTGCAAGTTGTACTGACGAAACTTGAGATTTTTCGTCGTCGCTCATTTCAACAGATTTCAGCTCATGATAGCAGCTGCAGTTAGAATGGCGTTACATGCTGTCTCAGTGAGAACCTCATCGAGTCTACCGGGGTCCGGAGCACGAAGCACCCCGGCAAGGTTAGGGTCCACGTCAGTGTTCCTGGAGGGGCCTTGTAATTGGAGCGTTTGTGGCAATCACTCCCGAGCGTTCGAGAACGATTGGAGCGCGTCAATCCACTATAGTAAGTGATTGCCAGGAGCAGCCATTGTAACAGTTGCCCTTCCTCCTCTTGCGCTAGAAAATGAAATGAACGGCATCACATTATCCTGTGACAAGGCTGGTATGGCAAGCCTCGATCTCGAGCAGAGAATAAATACGACGCGCATGAGTGGAACTCGTGCATTCCTAATGTACGTGGGTTCCGATCGTCGCTCATAGTAAAATACAATCCTCACAGACCTGGAGCTGTCAAACCTGTCAAACTACCTCCAATGTAGCCCCGGGCCTTGGCGATAGCGTCAAGGGCTTTGCAGAGCGTCACTTTATGCCACTGCAAAGTCCTTTAACAACGAATGACGTTGGCGTACACTTGTAATATAAGGTTCAGGTGTCGTTACCGCCGGTTCAACGACCTCACGCTTCACCATGCCTCGTATTCGCCCACAGACGATGTCCTCGCAAGGGCTCTTCGCCACCATAACTGACGACCTCTTCGCCGCCTTCCTCGAGTTTGTTGGGACGACTATCTTCCTCCTCTTTGCCCTTGGTGGCGTGCAAGCGGTCACCGCCGAAGCGCAGTCCACACCGAATACTGTGTCCAATATCGAAAGGATACTATACATCTCCCTATGCTTCGGTTTTAGCCTTGCAGTGTCTGCGTGGCTGTTCTTCAGAGTCACAGGAGGGTTGTTTAACCCGAACGTTAGCCTGGCGCTGTTCATATGTGGGGTGATCGGTCCAGTGCGATTCGTGCTGTACTGTATAGCGCAGCTCGTCGGGAGTATCGCAGCTGCGGCGCTTGTGCTTGCGCTGACCCCTGGCCCACTGGCTAGCAAGTTAGTGACTCATGCCGTTGCTGATAGTGAGGATTCCTAACTGTCATTTATGTGCAGCACCATCTTAGGTCCGGGCATCAATGCCGCGCAGGGCGTCTTCATCGAGATGTTCGTCACCGCTGCCCTCGTACTATCCGTCCTCATGCTCGCCGCCGAGAAGCACCAATCGACGCCCTTCGCACCTGTACGCTGGTGCTGCTGTCGTGTCTTTCCATATACGCGCCGACTGACAATTCGTCATTATTTTGCAGCTAGGCATCGGTCTGACACTCTTCGTCGCTGAGCTCTGGTCTGTATATTACACCGGCGGTTCACTCAATACAGCACGAGCATTCGGGCCAGCCGTCGTCACCGGGTTTCCCGACGGCCATCACTGGGTGGTGCGTCTCTCACGCGTCTCTCGGCCAGATGCATTTCTGATATCATCTTCAACGTTGTATAGTACTGGGTCGGCCCGTTCCTCGGGTCTTTGCTTGCTTCCCTATTCTACGCCATTCTTAAACAGTGAGTACATCATACTTCCCGTCGAAGCTTGGACACTCAGTGCTTATACACTGTAGCTATCGGTACTGGCGCCTCAACCCTGAGCAAGACACTACTCGTCCGGAGAAGTCACCATCCGACCCGGTGGATCGGATCTCGTCCTCGATGCAACAAGTATGAAGATCATTTGCTGTGATAAAAAAGAGATCTAAGACAGGCGGGATAATGGCAATCGCCATGTCATCAGCATTCATTTCAGTGACGAGTTCCTAAGCTCAACCGGGAGACAATAGTTGTACATTACTGCGAGACTTACACATTGCACCCATAATATATAATACACGCACGTTGTAGTACACAGCAAAGAGACGCTATCACCGGTCGCGACCTCACGACGATTGGATATTAGTCATCCTTGCTTCACCTACAAGTTACGTAAAATGTCCTCGATACAAGCCCCAGACGTATATGCCGACGCAGGGAGCGTCCGTCCTGTTTTGTCCCTCAGCGCCTGCGAAAGGCGTACGAAGCTCAGAGAATCGATCCCGAGACCGATGAACGTCCCTCGGAGTAATGTTCTATCAGACTCGGGAGCGTAACGAAAAAGATCAGACATGGTTGAAAGGAAGGCGGACTTGAGGGTGTCGTTGTTCTCCACCGGCAAAGGGGCGGCAGTCAAAGGAGGACTCGGGATCTTTAGTTCATGGACGTCTGTGTGTAGATGGGTACCGAGGCTCTTCACCATGCGCAAGCCCGTCTGGAGCGTACGACTCGCAGGGGTATTAGACTCGCAGAGCATCGGATCTTGCAAGGAATTTGACCGGGAGAGCGATATCGCTGGTTCTGCCGTCTTAGGCGGTGGGTCATCTCTAGTGTGTCTGATTAGAGGAGAGAGTTTATCGAGGGGATGTGAATGGTGAAGACATTGATCCACTGACACCAACTGGAAGTCCTCCCACTGGTATCTTCCTACGATACTCGTCAGAGCCATACCGGGCCCCATGTCAACGAATGTCCAGCCTGCTGTTGACGCAGAGCCACTTTCTGAATGCCTCATGCGATGAAGTACTTGCATACATTCTGAGAAGCGCACAGGCTCCCGCATGTGCCGCATCCAGTAAGCCATCGCTAGGGAACCTTTCGACAGCACATTTCCGGTCAACCCGGATAGGTAGATGCACTTGTCTGAGGAACTAACGGGACGTGCTTCGCCCAGCAACTGCCGAAGCAGATCGACAGCGCCGTTCATCTGCTTGGAATGGAACGGTATATCAGTTGCTATCAATTTGCATGGAAGCTGTCGGGCGAGAAAATAAGCCTCTGCACGGGAGATTGCTGCGGGGCAACCAGATATAATTGTGTGCATGGGTCCTGCGTGGATGGCTATATCGAGCTCCGCGCCAATAAGGATGAGGTGCCGCTGGACGATGGCGGCGGAGAGGAATACATTCAACATTGCGGCCGTGTCCTCTCGTCCTCCATCAGCATCCAAGGAGATATCTCGAACGGTTTTCTTGTGCCGGCTGGTTCGAATAGCCAGATCTCGTTGAACTAAGACCTTCACCACATCCGCCTCGCTGGCACGACCACCAATAATTGCCGCGGCGAATTCACCAAAGCAATAGCCTGTCACGAGTGACGGTCGTATTCCAGTCCTGCTGAGTCTTTCGACGTTAAATAGCTGATAGGCTAGCGCACGCAATTGGAACTGGAGGGCATTCTGTGTGGTGCCGTGACTAGAAGACACGAGATCATTTTCACGATTAAGAATGCAGATTTTCGCGAACAGCTCACGTTCTATCATCAGTTATGCACGGCTCTGAACGTTCTTGTTCCGCACGAGCAAAGAGCCGTTCCAAAATCCGATTGTAAGCAAGGTCTGAGGGCCAGCTCGTGACGGTACCTGCCCAAGGACCAAACACGAATGCATACTGAACGCCACTAACGGTATCGCTACCAACAAGTGCTTGCGGAGAACCTTGACATACCTCGACAGAGACGCCGCTCATATTGTGCATGAGCAACCTGACAAACTCCTCATCTATCACTGGACAGTTGGATAGGGATGGGCTGAACTTAAGTGACTCGCGAACATCCAGAGGACAGTATCTCGACGGGAAACCTGAAGTGGTTGCAGCTTCCTTCAATGATGGAAGCAATCGACGGACAAGGAGTTCGTCCGCATTGAGTGATTTTTCAAAGGCTTCAAGGGCTTTGATGTACTCGCCGAGGTCCACCATACGAGGCATGGGGCAGTCCAGGGCACTTGCTGCATACCGAACAACCGTTGGCCATGCAACGATTTCGGGATTAGCCACGTTGTAGACCATTAGTGCCTGCCTTCGCTCGCAGAGGGCATCACTGACAAAATCGCAGATTGCATCCGCACACACGTCGACAGGAACCCATGAGACATCAGGTAGAGCCCTTGGAACCATGCCCAAGGCAAAGATTGAACGCAAGACCATCGGTATCATCTCATTGGTATTCCAACCGCCGCTCCTGGAATCACCGCAGATTTGACCTACTCGGACTATGCCCAGTGCAAAGCGTCCGGGGTAACGGTCACGTAAACCGTACAGGATGTACTCAGCTGCTAGCTTGGATACAGCGTACCCCTAAAAGATAAATAAGAACCCCGCAGAATGTTTCAATTTCGCCACAAACCTGGGACAATGCGTGACCAATCTTGCAGTCCAATGGAACCTCTGGGACCGAGACGCCTTCGTAACCAAAAGATGCGCTGAAACTCGTGATAAAGTACAATTTGGGTGTCTTTCTGCTTCGAACTGCGACTTCGGCCAGTGATCGTACCCCGGCTAAGTCCGCTTCGAATCCTGGCAGGTGGTGGTTGAAGTCAACTTTCCAGGCGCAATGAATGATCACATCCACGGAGCCCAAGATGTTTTGATGCACTTCGTCCGAGCACCCGAGGAGGGGATCGCCTAGACCTGAAGTTGTTACCACGCGCAGGGTGCCATGCTGCAAAGCGTGCTGCAAAACGTCTCTGTCGAGGCCTCGAGCCCCGAAGACTTGATCTAATCGTGCTGGGTGGCTACCACGGACCGGGCATACCACCTTTACGGACTGCATGCGCAGGAGTCGAGAAAGAATGCGAGAGCCAAGGAACCCAGTCGCACCTGTCAACACGATCGTCGTTTCCGATTCTCTGTTGGGACGTCGGTGTGCGTCTTGAGGGAAGTGCCTGAAAGGTGCGGAGAACTTCTCTATCAGAGCATCCAGATGCCCCTGGGTACAGACGGAAGAGTACCCTGACCGACCAACGAGGAAGTCGTAGATAGAAGATATGGTGCTAAGCCTGTAGAGGTCGCCTACGCTGATAGTGCGCGAGAACCCTCTGGACAGAGATTGGGCGAGTTCTATACTGCTCAGCGAATTTATTCCCAAGTCGAATACGCTGGCCCTTGGGTCAATTTCGACCATTTCCTGGTGGAGCAGCTTGGAGACGATGGCTGAGACAGACTGGACAGAAAGGTGAGACGTGTTAGAGTCCGAATCTCGTCCTGTCGCATCACTGTCAGGACAGGATACCGAGACGGGGCTTGGGAGCGAGAACCCAGCGACCTCGGGTTTTGGACGTGACGGGGGATAACGCCAATACCGCTCCCTCTCAAAAGGATAGGTGGGGAAACTACGCAATAAATGTGCTGGGATCATACTCCTGCAGTACGCAAGTGAGAAATCCAAATCGCGTCCAGTTTCATACATATAGGCGAGTGTAGCCAGGGGGTGTGAAGACGATGAAGCAAGCTCCCTAATGTCTGGAGCATCAGAGCACTCTGAGCCATACCCCCCTGAATCATCAGCACGCGTACAGATCAAGGAGCCGCCGGGTGCAGTCAAGCCAAGACACGCCAGCGCCTCACGGAGGCTTTGCACTACAAATGCCTTTCGTTCTCGGTGATGTTCCCGCGTGAGAGAGAGAATAACGGATAGCTCTTGAATACTGCAGTCACATGTCTTTATCCAATGGCCCACAGAGTCCATGGACGTGCGGAGCGCCGCCTTTGTTTTTCCAGAGAAGGGTAGAAGATAGTGCCTGTATGACGGTAGACTCGCCACCGACGGTCGTGGTGGTTCTTGTAGCACGATACTTCCAGCACCACCGGCTACGGATAATATTTAGTACAAGTGCAGATTTCCAACAACTTCTCGACTTACTGAACCCGAGGGCGCTAACGGTGGCAATGAATGGACGGTCATTTCCAACACAAATGGGCCTGATAGGAACTCGAATAATGCCGTCCTTGAGGTCTGGGTAAGGCTCAATGTGATGCGGAGGAATCGTGCGGTGCACGATGCACAATATGACCTTCAGAACTCCTGGAAGCACGTGAGATCGCACATTGATTGGTAATTTTTGTGGACGTACCGACCAGGGCTGCAGCCGCTTGACAGTGCCCCACAATCGTCTTAGAAGATGTGAGATACAGTGGATCTTCCCGACTGACGTTGTAGACATTTTTGATGGCTTCAAGCTCAATCATATCGCCGAGTATCGTGCCCGTGCCGTGAGCTGCGTCATGTTAGAAATATCGAACAACCATCCGCTGGAAAACATAGTTACCCTACCTTCGTGTAACACCACATCTCCCGCCGAAATGTTAGCTGCAGATAATGATTCTCTGAGCTGAGAGGCTTGTCTATCCGCACTGGGGCTGGTTAGAGTCTGAGTGAACCCGTTATGTCGCAGAGTGATACTCGGTATCAAGGCGTAAATGCAGTCTCCATTGCACCTTGCTTGTGCTGCTTTCTTCAGAATGAAGAAAACCGCGCCCTCCTATGATATAGGTTGAATTGCGCCAACCAGGCGTCATACTTATCGGACTAACCGAAGGAAGGTAACCGTCTGCCTGATCTGAAAATGCAGAGCACCTCCCCCGACAAGAGGCAACTCCGACGGACGAAGCCCATAGAAATGGTGCCGGGGTAAAGTGAGTGGCCAGTGCACCCACAACGGCGAGCTCGGCCCCTTGTGCAACAAACGAATTGGTCCCTGTTTCAACTCAGAAAATACATCCCGACTATGAGCTTGCGATCCTACCATATTCTAAAGCGTTCACCCCGCTTGCACAAGCTCCCGAAACTGTCCCGATGGCGCCATGGAAGTCGAAGAAATGCGAGACGCGTCCCGCCACAGCACTGGGATCGCTGTTCTGCGCCCAATTATGGTCGAAGGCCTCACGGCCGTCTTCGGCAAATCGCCGCAAATCCCAACCGTCTTCAGCGCCCATGGCGATGGACACCGATACGTTCTTACCTCTCAGCGCACTGGGCTGGATGCCTGCATTCTCGAGGGCTTCCCATGTCAACTCTAGAGCTATCCGACTGTTAGGCCTAAGGACCTCTGCTTCGCCAGGCGGTATGCCAAAGAACTTCGCGTCGAAATCTTCGACTCCCTCTGGGCCCAACCAACCCCCGTGCTTGATATAGCCAACGCTCTCCGGGTGCATCCTGTCGAATCCTCGGGATATAGGTGGTTCTGTGCTGCATTCTTCCCATTGACCACTTGATAGTAGCGTCCAGAAATTAGTCGCATTGCGGACGTTCCCTGGGAGTCGACAAGAGCATCCTATGATGGCGATGGGGTCAGGTTGGTCAGACATCTGGTCGTATATTGAGCGCAGGGCTGCTTTCTTTGGCTTCGGGGACCCGCAGCTCTTGCTGCTGCCTCCTGATGGATAGATCAAAACTTTCGTCGCCGTGATAGGGGATTGTACATATTGGTATGTGGCCTAACGTCCTGATGCTCTTATGCAGCAGGTTGACCTGTCTTCCGCACGGGTTCCTTAGCACCATGTTGAAGATGGTCCCTTTGGGTTTACCGTTGACACATGTGCCTCGCCTAGCCTCAAGAGCATCCCTCCATGTGCTTATCATAAGCTCTCGCCCACGGATGCTGTCATGATTCGTCGCCTCAAGCCAGAAGTACGATGTTCTCAGGTTCTCATACTTCTCTTCTTGTATCCCCGAGTTGCGAAGCTATCTCGCGAGAGCGGTTCGACGATCGGCTCATGCACGAATATCTTCTGCAGAGATTGCACTTCATCACTGTTGGAGGTCACTTCTCGTTAGGCTATTAGTAGGTGATTAATGCCACTAATTTTGTTCCTGCGCCACTGTCTTACGCCAATTTGCCAGCTATTTTCGAGGGCGGTAGGTACTATCAGTATGCTTTTCGGCCGCCGCGGTTCTCAAACTCTGCGAGGCTAACCGTGAGAGCTTCTCATGACCGGTCATCGTATCGGAATGGATTCTGTAGGTCCACCTTTCGTTATACATCTTCATCATTACCCCGTAGGTGCGACTTCCCGACCGGCTATGGTATCAGATCGCTGTGAGTTCGCGTCTCGTGCTATGCGCTGGCCGTTATTCCGCGATTTGTCACTTGGCTGCTTCCTTGGCGTTTGGTGTCCGCACAATTCCCGACCCGGACATCCTGCTGCATCATCACCGATGTTCACGGTGTTTATGTACCTGTTTGACGTCGAGCTTGGAATCTTATCTTTTCCTGCTTGCGCCCGGTGTCTCAGGTTAGGGGGAGTGTCATGGATCAGACAAGCCGTGGTAATGACGACCGCCTGTCGACAACAACAAAGACTTTGGGGTGGTGGCATGGGGATAGGTCAATTCCATACATACTAAGAACAAACTACGACACGGGGGTACGTGAAACTGTGATCTCCATCATGCCTGTCTCGCCGCGTGAGGGGCCATCGATCGGCGGGCTTGAATGTTCCATGATTGAGCCCCATGTGACCCACCAATCTTCAGCCACCTCGTTAGCATCGTAGTTGAACATGCGAATAAGCTCCTCCCATTCCGCCCGTAGGTTGTTCTCGATATCATCGTCCCAGCTTGTTAGTGGCATTGACAGTGCTGACGAGAGGCCCTTCGCTTGCACCTCACTTGCGCCGTGAGGAAGGGCAACAGCTTCGAGCTTGCCGATCTCTGACTTGATCACATCTGCAGAGCGAGGGAGACGAATCTCCTCAAATGCACTGACCAGGCTTGGTATCTGATCATGGGAACTCAGATGTGCAAACAGAGTCCCGAGAGCTGCAGCGTCCTCAATGACGAGTGCAGTGTTCTGTGTTCCATTTGGCTGTATATGATACCCGAATGAGATGCAGGAAATATGACATGCTGGATGGTACTCACGGGCAATGGATGTGCTGCATGTCCAACCAAGATGACCTTACCACTTTCATGAACAAGGTTTCCAAGTGCTTCACCTTTGTGTGGTTTATAGAGTGTAGGTCTCAGTGGCTGAGCCAGGGATAAGAGATCACACAAGCTAGTAATTTTGTTTGTCAGAAATGGATACTACACAGGAATCACTCGCACCTCTTGTCTAACTCATTCATCTTGAAATCAATGACTTCAAGAGGCATTTCTGTTCCAAAATCTTCATTAAATATATCCAGCTTAGTAGGCCATGCTATCACTACAGCGTATGAATCTTTGTGGTGCTAGGGGGCAATCAGTCATGATACCATAATATTTGTGCAAATGACACACTACTGGATGGCCCCAAACAGCATGCCCATCACCCATCCAAATGCTCAGCTATAGCCTCTTGACATCAGCCTCAAAAACACAAGTGCAAATGGAACTCACTTCTGGGGTGTGCAGAAGACCTGCAAGATTCTCATCATCTCTCATTCTTTCAGCTGGGATGCAAGAGCTGGGCTATCATCAGAATGCCATGGTTGATGAAGTAACAATTCATTGACTTGGCCTCGCAAAATTTGATTGTGCTTTCCTGGGGACAACAGCCTGCAACAAGAGGACGCACAAAACTATCAAAGCCGTTGGCAGCAATAATAATGTCACCCTCGATCACAGCACCTCCTTCGAGATGGACAGAAGCAGTATAGGGATCAATGCTAATGACCCCTGCATTGTACTGGATGACTGCTCCAGCCTCCAGAGCCATAGTATATAGAGCATTATGAAGATCACTGTACTACAAGTGATATCACTCAATCAGCATGGAATAGGGGATTGAAGCAGCAATGATGCCCATACCGCAATGAACATATACTCTGCGCCCAAGCTCTGCATGATATCCTGATGGAATAGGGATGTCCCAATATGATCTCCGTTACCACCTGATTGTGATGCATAACTGTGAACCCCTCCAGAGTGTAAGCAGGGCCTAACCTACTCAGCTTGAAGGTTATCCCTCGGCTGCTGAGGGCTACGTCCGCCAGATAAGGGCCGAGACCCCAACCGTTCAGGATTCGGGTCATGTTTGGCGGTGAACGCACACCTCCCGCCACCTCGATACTTGGGGTAAGTCGATGTTCGAAGGGATCTACGGAAATGACGCACCCCGGTGTAAGAGCCACTGCTCTTTTCCAGCACCCGTACTTGATGTCCGGCATCTTGTAGGGCACACGCACATGCGAGGCCTGCGATGCTACCACCGATGATCACGAAACGCAGAGATAATGAAGCTTTCCTGTACGCGTGCATTCTATGAAGTTACAGGAATGATAAATGAACCCGTCCGTCGCCGTCGAGAGTCGATGTCTTAATGTCCGTCCCGTAGAAAGGCCAGAATTCGGGATGCTAGCTTACGACCCACAGTACGAGATGTCACCCACAGCTAAGCTCCCAAGAAGGGATGCCCGGAGGACCGCCATCGCCGTTAGATGGACAACCATACAACAGTGGGAAGACCCTAACGTAGATGGTCCCGGATCTGATTGTCTTCCGCATAGCCTGTCATGCCTACGACTGCGCATTGCCTGGATTTACAGAGCACCCGTTGAAGTTCCAAATGAGCTGTACTGGATTGAAGCCTTGGAGAGGCGGCACATGCCGGAGCTCCATTCTGTGGGCGTCCGAACTTCTCCGAGACCACCGATGATTGTGATTACCGTGATTGCGGGCAGGCGTGCTTTCCTCCCCCGACGTGTCCCTTCGCGGCCGCGCCAGTCACTCCTCTTCAGGGTGCAGCGCTTCTGGTATCAGATGGAGGTTATTATTGGTTTGCCTGTGAACACCGAAGGATCCAAATGACAGGCTGTCCGTGCTTAGCGAACGTTATGATGGTTCCGATTGAGCGGGAGCATTTGCCACACTGACGAGGGCCCCGGAGTCAAGTTGAGACAGAATTGGTACGCTGTGTTTTTCCTTCCCAACACCGCTGTATATAGGGAGCAATCAGCCGGCTTCATCCTTCCAACGTCGAGGCCAACTCATGACTTCTGGTGAAATTCATCGGCGCTTCCCGACGCTGCTGGACTTACTCGACCATTGGGCGTCGACGACCCCATCAGCTCCTTTCCTTGCCGAGAGGGAAAATGATTACCTGTCTTACTCTGCTTGCAAAACCCTAGCAGTCGGCCTTATACCCCGTAATCTCGTTGGACTCTGTCCTAGCCTTGGCACTACTCATGGGGCGCGAGTCGCTATCGTGTCCGACAACAGTCCACTCTATCCCATCTGCCTGTGGGCGTTCTGGATTATGGGAATAGTCCCTGTGCCCTTGAATATCAAATCTGATCCCCTCCTCATGTTATCTATGATTCAGGTAGCTGAGGTCGACCTAGTTCTCATGCAGCAGTCATCTATTGATGGTTTTGTGTCCGCTGTCGGAGGGAGGCGTCGATGTCCCGTGCCAATCTTGTCCCTGGAAGAAGTCGTTCGTGGTTCCAGTTGTGGCAGTGAGTCTTGGAATTCTCCCGAAATCATACGTTTCTGCATGGCATGCGTGCGCGAGAATGAGCATGAGCCCGCCGAGATGCCCTGGAGTATCAAAGACAGGCTACCTAGTGATCCAGCGGTCGTATTGTTCACGAGTTCCGGGGTCGATGTGGCTACCCTCAAGTGTGTAAGCTACACTCATTTGACGTTGATGGAGTCGAGTCTGCGGACTATCAAGGCCTTCGGAGGTTCGAGCTACGCGTGCAGTCCCAAACGCCATCTGGGGTGGCTGCCCTTAAGTCACGCTTTCGAGTTGACCATCGGTCTCCTGTTAGTACGCACTCTTGGTTGAGAAAGTCTTTGGATGTTAATACTTCATATAGTGGAGTCGTTGTTCAAACCGGCGGATCCTACCTGTTCTACAATCCGTCTATATCTTCCCCGAGTATGACTGCGGAGACACCTTTACTTCGACTACTGCTCGCATCTCTGGCATATCATCACCCAGTCCATTCATTGTTCGCCGTTCCGACTATCCTTATCTCGACCTATCGCGAGATGACGCCGGAAGAGAAGCAGTGGCTAAGGTCCCTCGACGCCATATGCGCGGCAGGGGCAGCTTCGCCGATTGAGCTTGTGCGTTGGGCGCAGAAGGAGAACATCAAGTACATGGATTTAGTGGGTGCGACGGAGGTCGCAGGTGGAATGTGTTTCTCCAAGACATGGGACACTACCAGTGGTTTCCAAGTCATGTCTGGCTTAATGGGTGTCTTAGAGCTGGAACAGGACAGTGACGATGTTGGGGAACTTATAATTCTTAGTAAAGTCCGAATATCGTCTCCATCCACGTGTTCTGTCAACTTACACTCCGGGATCATAGAGTATCCCATCGAGTTACGACTATGGCACTAGTGATGCTTACTCAGTCTCGCTGGATGGAACAATAGCATATAGGACGGGGGACCTGTACAGCATCGGGTCAGAGTTCTATGGGAAGACCATCACAAAGGGATCCCAGATGCCTGGGTTCGACACACGTCAGCCTGTTATGTCCGGTCCGTGAGCGCGGACTGTACCTACAATCAGCTACTAACGATGACGCCAATAGGTATTTTCTATCTGGGCCGTCTTGACGACATCGTCGTCCTGTCTTCGGGCGTAAAGGTCGACGCACTAGGTGTTGAGCGGATGTTGAACTCTCAGCCTGGCATTGTCAGGTCAGCACTTGTGACAGATTCTTCTGGTGATGCCCTGGTCGCTCTCATCGAACTGGCCTCAGAGCATGGATCCCTCGAGCTCGCAGTTGAATCTATTCTATACCTCAATGGGAGCTTTCCCTTTGAAAAGAGGATCCATCGTCGCAACATACTATTCGTGGACAAGCTGCCTTCAACAAGTAAATCCACCCTGCACAGGAAGAAAGTCAAGCAATTACTAGCCAGTTGCGGTGGACGCTGGCCTGCCAACCGTATGTGGCACGCACCCTCAAGCAGTTTGCAAGAGCTGCCCTCAGCCTCAATGTCTTTCACCTACGTTTCGGAGCACCATACTAGTCTGCGGGACCGCGTCGAAGGGCTTTTGTCTGATGTCTTTGGTATCGCTGTGAAGGATGTTCAAGCCCCCCAGTTTCGTCTGTCGGATTTGCCCATGACTTCTTTGGCATCAGTCCGTCTTGCCAACGCACTAAGGGCCCTATGCACAACTGGTATCAGCAGGGCTCAGCTCTACACCGCTGATACCGTATCTGATTTGTGCCGTCTTCTGTCCCATAATAAGGGTAAAGTCGCAGCTGCTTCACCAGTACCAGAATCTCAAGAGAGACGCAATCATGTCTCACCTGATGATAGTGACCTTGTCATCTCTGGCGCATCTTGCCGATTTCCTGGAGGGGTGAACACTCTAGACGACTTTTGGTCAACCCTTGTCTCACCTGAAGCATACGTGGCTCATTTAGGCAGGCAGGCACCTTCGTCCAGATGGGATTCAGAGGTATCAGACACAAATCTACCCATGGGCTGGTTGGATCTCCGCCCCCTGGACGACGTTCACAGCTTCTCGACTTTCTTCAATATTCCCCCTCCCGAAGCCGCGGCAATGAGTCCCAATGCTCGCTTAGTAATGCAGCATGGGTATAATGCCTTGGAAGATGCCGGGATGGCTCCCAGGAGTGTTTCAGGGCGACGCTGGGGAATATTCACAAGCCTCAATGATTCCGGCTGGCGTGAGTACCGTTTCTCCAAACTCAGTCTCCAAGGTGAGGGACCGTCATCCCAGCCTTGCCTCCCGTACACTCATTCCATTCAGAGTACAGCGATAAGTGGAGCTCTGCATCGGATGATAGTGCGGGAGGGCGTTTAGCTTATTTCCTTGATTTGAGGGGACCCTGTATGGACATCAAGACAGCATGTTCCAGCAGCGCAGTTGCTATCCACCAGGGTATGACTTGATCACCGACTTCTGTGCGTATGACATGCTAACCTAGGCCAGCTTGTCGATCTATCGAAGCTGGGGACTGCGAAGCGGCACTCGTAATAGCCGCGACCACTCATCTTATGCCGAGCGCTGCCATCTTCCGCTCTCGAGCGGGTATTGGCTCTCGCTCTGGCAAATGTTCAACCTTCTCGGAGGATGCTGATGGTTTTCTTCCGAGTGAGGCATGTACAGCGATCTTCATACAGCGGCGTAGGGATATCAGTGTCACTCCTTACGCACGCATCCGGGGCACTGCGGTCGGTCAAGATGGCCGATCTCTAGGCTTTACTGCCCCGAACGCCGCTGCGCAAGCAGATGTTTTGCAAAAAGCCCTGACTACATCTGGCTGCGTGCCCGACGATATTTACTACTATGAGGGTAAGCATAGCCTAGAGTAGGCTAAAGTAAAACTATCCTCACCTTCTGCGCTATAGCACACGGCACTGGAACGCCCGTTGGAGATGCTATCGAAGTGGACGCAATCAATCGGGTATATGGCGGCAAACGCACGAGACCGCTCCTTATTGGGTCTGTGAAAGCTGTAGTGGGTCATACAGAAGAATGTGCAGGACTTACAGGTGAGACCGCCCAGCGATCATGATATCTTCGTAACCTCTTTCTTGGTAGGCGTCCTCAAGACCATGCTATGCTTGCGATATAAAACTGTTCCTCCTCAGCCGAATCTTGGATTCATCAATCCAAACCTTGACACCTGTGCGTCAAAGATCGTCATACCGAGAACAGCACAGGCCTTGGTGGACCCCGACTCGTCAAAGCCAGTTGTCTGTGCGGTCTCCTCGTTTGGACTCTCCGGTACCCTTGCACACATCATTCTCGAAGGGGAAGGTCAGGGTATCTGCCTACAAAGCGCAAGTAACGGTCATGAACAAGTCTTTATCTTATCTTCCCCGTCTACGCAACAACTCATCTTCACCATGAGGCGGTTTATCTCGTTCTCAAATTCTGTGGGAGCACATATGGCTTCTTTTAATGAAGTATGTCGAACGTCGAGAAGTGCCCGGGACCCTCTTCCGTACCGACGGGCATGGGTTGCACGGAGTTGGAATGAACTACTCAAGTGCGTGCGCACCAGCCTCGACGGCCCCTTGCCTATGTGGTCCCCTCCATCTACTACGGTTGCTCTATGGTTTAGTCTCCCTCATCGTCACGCCCAACTTCTGCCGGTCATCGATAACCCGATGTATCATCAAACTGTGGCAGAATGCTACAGACATGGTTGTACACTCGAACTGGACTGGTTCGCTAGGCAGCTTGCCGTGGCAAGGGTGCTCGAGATTTTCGGATGTCGAGTCTCTGTGGTCTCTGGAGAAGGACCAGGCGAGTACATTGCCGCCGTCTTTGCTGGCATATTAAGCTTGCAAGATGCATTCGACCTCCTTGCGGCACTCGAAACCGAGGCTCTGGATCATGATGTATCTTCCAAAGTCGTGGATAGGTGCCCCCATGATACTCTACAGGACTACCTACTGGAATTCGGGCCCGATGAAGTCTGGGTTCGCGCTGAGTATGGGCAACGAATGTTTGGTATTACCGGTCGTCCAGAAATACTGCAGAAATTGGAGGAGAGGATGCAAGGCGTGGAATTCACAGATGCGTCCCTGTTCTTACGTGGACGCTTGGCCGACGACAAGACTCGCAGGGGAAAGCGGGGAAAGGCTGGAGCTGTGGCGTTGGTGTCGTCTCAGCTAGGCGGGTTGGTGGATGCCGAGCTCTCGGAGAGCCATCACTATTGGAACTCGGTGGTCACCGGACGGATAGACGTGCCGGCCGTCCTCGAATGCTTCTCTTCCCGATGCGATATGGTCGTGGACCTGTCAACGAGCAGCCTCATTGATGACAGCACGCAGACGATAGTAGCCTTCAACGATGGCTTGCAAAACGTCTTCGGTCAACTGTTCGAGTCAGGCATCAATCTGAAATGGGAAGAAATTTATGCTTGGTCGAAAAGCACAAAGATGGCCCATTTGCCCACTACGGTCTGGAATGACGGATGACCTTTCAGTATAGGACATCGCAGGTGCGACACCCGCAGCTCGAAGTCCAATGGAATCGAGGTCATTCTGCTGTCGTATGGCTCACTGAAAGTAATACAATACAGGCCTTTGTTTATCCTTTCCTTCGTCACGTTGTAAAGGTATACTTGTACGATCCCTCACGGTGCCAATATAATAGTTTCCTCCGGTGCGATCGGGCGCCCCATCGTCACCGTAGCCATCTTACTTGTCAAGTCCATGGCGATATTGAACAGGGTAGCTGCACGGCTGTCACCAGCTTGTGCTCGACAGATTGATGCGGGGAAATTATTTTCGTCCTTGAAGAGTTCATAGATATCGCTGTCTTCCGGGTTGTTGGGAAGCGTCTTCATAAGGCCCTGGATCCTATCGATCCTGTTGAAGCTGTCTTTCCAAAACATCGTATCTTCTACCCCAGGATGTTTGGCAAGCAAGTGGTTGGTATGCACAATCTTGCCGTCACTGTCCATGGGGAGTTTGGCGAAACCTATAGCGGTACACTCTAGCCCGACCGCACCGTTTGGGTCTGCGATTAACATATGTGCCGATGAAGCTATCCCGTATTTCTCGAGTTGAGAGATGGCTTCTTCTTTGGAAGTGCTTTCGAGGACGACACGCAGACCAAGATGGACTGGAAGGTGAGTCGGATCCATGCCTTTGACGCGAATGGCGTTCAGGCATACCCCGACACCGGCAGAGTTGAGCCCTGGATCATACGTAAATAACGGCAGGCAAGGAAGACGGAGTCTCATACCGATCTTTCCAATCAATCCAGCCTCGGTCATCATACTAATACGAGGTTTGCCTTCTTGATGGATGTTAACGACTATGAGGTTCTCCTTCTGTTGCTCCATCCACTGGATACATTTGGATGGTGACACAATGGCTTACAGGGATTTAATTGGACTCACATCCCAATTTTGAGCCAGGAAGCTCTTCTTGTCCGTCTTCCACGACACGGCGGTGCAGCCGTCACTGAAGAGACCGAACGTGATCTCGGTCCGTACATTCAAGGCCAAGATATCGGCGTAGGTCACACCTGCACCATCGGCAATTCCTAGAGACAGAAAGCGTGGTAGTAAGTTCAAGACGTCTAAGTCCATACGTACCTCTCATCTCCTCGCCGAAAGCGGGAAATTTCCTTTGTATACTTGGAGCGAACTCCACGGCTTTTTCACATACACCAACCCAATCTAGTTTAGCTGAAGCTTGGAAGAGGCCGGCATAGAACTTTATCGCACGCCCGATATGAAGAGAGGCCGCTTGACCATGCTGAACGCCAATCTTTGATAGTTCAATGGCACGTAGAGCAGTCGCAGAGTTCGAGATACGTATGAGCTGTACTAGTAATTTGACGCACCTCATACGGACTTCCGGAGCAATCCACTTCAAGCAGCGCCATCCCGAAGGTTCCCTGGACTGGTGTTGTTCACAGTTCTAGTGGGATCTGGGTTCTGCATCCTCCCTCGCTTGAGAGCGCTAGCCTTATACCACAACTTGAAGGTGGCTCATGACGAGATCGCGGGATCCGAGGCCACGGCCACAATTGGATGATAAGATTGCAATCTCGTGTCATTCTCCTGCGACGAGATCGTGAGAGCGAATGGTCTTAATGAGATGTTACACGGGAGTCAGACTAGTATCCAGTACCAGCAGTCTGGGTTACGCCGCCATAAATAGGCGTCGAAGCGTTTTTCAACTCGGAAGGTTCACTTATCGCTGTAATTTTAAACAACGGCCAAAGCAGTCACGACACCACTGGGTACTAGTAGCATTATAATGCCTATCAGATTACTGCCTCGCGAAGACCCGTCTCCAGCCTTTGCCTCTAAACAGCCGGTGCTAAATGACGAGCAAGAAACGCATCCTCGTCGGTTACGGCATTGATGTCGACGCTGTATCCAATTGGTCAGCCATATACTAGTACGAGCAGTTATTGAGGCTAATTAACGTCAGTTTAAACCAGGATCAACACCCGCAATGGTCAGAAAGCTGACGCGACGAATGTCTCTCGTGGAGTCTTCGGTGCAACTGTCGGAGTCGACAGATTGTTGAAGTTATTTGATAAGTACCAGATTAAGGGTACCTGGTTCGCGCCTGCGCACTCCATCGAGAGTTTTCCCAAGCAGCTGGCGAAGGTCAGGGATGCCGGGCATGAAATGTAAGATATCACCAGCGGGGTGTCTACTGGACCGTACTAACCAGAGCCCAGTGGCCTTCATGGGTAAGCTTATTATTTCGACGGGCACTGGCTGCAATCCGAATGAGCTGCGTATCTGGAGATACACACACGAATGGTTCTCAGCCCTGTCGAGTAAGCAGCAGCGCGATGTCATGGCCAAATCGATTTCCGTCATCACTTCTTTCACTGGAAAACCTCCCCGAGGTTTCACGGGACCACATTGGACATCCACTCCAGAGCTCGTCAACATATTGGAGGAAGCCGGAATTGAGTACGACCACACCTTCATGCACCACGACTGCCAAATGTATCTCGTCCCGGATGGGTCTGCCACTTGGACCGAGACCGACCTTGAGAAACAGGCGGAGGAGTGGATGAAACCCATGACTGCGATCAATCCTAGCACTGTGGTAGAGATTCCAGCTAACTGGCATTTGGACGACTGGCGTACGTCATAAGTTTCTTCTCTTTCCACCAAGGAATGACTCACCATATGCAAACAGCGCCGTTCCAATTCGTACCGACTCAACCAAACACTGTGAGCTTCTACGTTGTTTTCATGAGTTGGCCTTTGTTGAAGTGCGATCATCTCTTTGCTTCTCAGCAAGGTTATGTTGACCCCCACGTCATTGAGCGGTTGTGGAAAGAACAGTTCGACTACTTCTACCGCGAATATGATACCTTTGTCTTCCCGATCACCATTCATCCTCAGGTCAGTGGGAAGCCTCAGGTGATACTGATGCACGAGAGGTGCTCTTGCAGGTTTATCGAATATGTCAATTCGCACGAGGGAGTAGAATGGATGACCATGGGAGAGATGGTCGACGAATTCAAATCAGGGAGATTCGGCGGTGTCACGGTAGAGGGTGGCGCTGAACTCTGAGCAAAAAACGTGAAGAAACGTCGGAAGATCAGTTACTGCGTGTCGACGTCCGAATGAAGCCAGTGGGTATCATGTATATTATGCCGGAAGTATGTAACTACGCATATGATCAAGAGTTATACCATTCCGCGGAGATATTCATTCCTCCATTCCCCGAAACCCTTGAGGGAGACTTCACCGCAGAGTCGCCTTGTTATAGCGTGCAATTCATCCAGACCCTGTGCATATTCCGTCAGACCTGACATTGACCGCTCTTCATGAACGATAATGAAACGGACCACTATGAGCTCCAGTACAGCAATCATTCCGCTCGCATAAACCATGTAGTCCAACGACTGCAACTGTTCCAGCTGGGGTGCATCTATCGGTGCATCTCGAATCTTCCTGGTCCGGTGATGATGGTATGCAAGCCTTTCGAATAAGGAGCTTGGAAGGACCTCGTGCAAAGGTTCCCCCGTACGAAGGGACTGAGAGATAAGAGAAAACAGTGACAACACATCCGTAATCTGCGGACGCTATTAGCTACGCAGGCATCGTCAGATGAGGAAGGACGTACGAAATTGGGATTAAGCGCTCTGGTGCGCTTCAGGAACGCAAGCCGCCACTCCTCGCTCATATGCGACAGCGCACCTCCCAGCTGAGAGCCCTTGGGTAAATAGTTGTATACTTCATGATACATGAAGCAAGCGCACCTGTGCAAGATTGCCTAACATTTGGATCTGTACATCCACCATGCGATTATATTCCTCAAACGGCCAGCTTCCGCGAACATTTCCTTCCCATTTCGCGATAGCCGTCATGCTCTTGAGAGCCTGCAGCTGCTCTGCAATGCTCACCAAATCCGAGCGAAAGAACGTAGACCAGCTTTTGGAATCAGGAGCTACGGATTTCTCTCCGGCAAGGCTGCCATCTGTACCGACGTGACTTTCTGCCCCGTCGGCGCCTGAAATCCATCTGGAAATAAGCAGACTATACAAGTTATATATCCTCTTGATTGTCGTGGCATTGCGTAGCCGGACCGCTTTGCGACCCGACTTGGGCGGGAACATCATGATGATGAATGAAGCTGCTGAACCTGCGGAACGTTTAGCAGGAATAATGTCTAGGCGCATCGTACTCATACCAATGACCACTAGGACCCATCTTCGCCAAGCAATAGACCACCCCACACCAGGATTACCGTACAACGGCAGGTGACCGTCAATCCATGAGTATCCCACTATAAGCGCCACGGTCACCTAGTCATTCGATAGTGTGAGAGAGCAACGCGATATATTTAAGAGGGAGACACACAGTTCCAGTGACCACGCCTGACAAAGTCGCAGGAGGCGCGAACAGCCGCAGGAATACCGTAGGAACCAGGAACACTCCCATAGACGCAGCGATGCCATACGGGTTTCCATTCCCGCTACCAGAACCTGATTGGACCAACATCAGTAAGGGATAGCTTCAAACCACAACTGGTAAGGCGCACCGATATACCAGGTTAACAAACCAAATACCAGCCCAACGAGAGTGCCAGCGAGCCGTGTAAAGTAGCTGCGACATGGAATGAGTTGTACGCAGACTATGGCACTCGGATGGATGCTTACTTGAATATCTGGTCAGATGCGTACACATTCAGTGTCATCTGAGCCATGATCAATGCCCTTCATAATCTTGAGCAAAGGAAAACGGTGGACAATGTTCATGCACTTACCAGACGCTCTTCTGCTCGTAGGCGAAAGCTGCGCGAAAGTAGCCATCAGCCACGAGGCAACTCGAGTATACGGATGAATAGACACTCACCGGCGCTCCTCGGAATAACCTGAGGCAGCCATAAGCAGATCGTCAGAATGACAGTTTTCGCAGCGAACTATCGATTGTCCCATTAGGAATCACTGGTACACAATCATGAGACGACGGAGGCGCACCATAACCTCAGGGGACTTCGTCCATTGAAACACTGCATGAACGAAGTTCATAAAGCGCTGGAACGCATTCTTCGGAGGGCGACTGTCCGGATCACGTCCTGTGCATTACGGTCAATATATACGCCTGTCTCTTGCCACCGCGGAAACCACGCACTTGCTTCGCGCTCCCACTCTCCCTCTTCTCCTTCCCCTACATCTACGTCCTCACCGAGCGTCTTGCCCTCCCCCTCCCCGTCCCTCCTCGTAAAGAGCTTGCCAAGCGCCCGGAGCCCCGTAGGCGCCCACACCCGCCTCCTCGTTCTCTTTTTCGTGATGCCCAGCACAGTATCGAGCAGCCCAAGGGTCGCCTCCGCCGTCGCGATCAGCGACGCAGAGAAGACATACGCAAAATTCAGCGCACGGAGCGGGAGCAGCCCCGCACTTTGGGCCGACGCCGCCTCTTCACCTTCCGTCTTCTCAAACAGCGGCGCGAACGGCTCGACGAGCTCCTTATACTTTCCGCCGCGGAAGGCTTCCAGCTCCCTTCTCAGTGCCGCGGTAGCTTGGACTAGGTCCTGCTCCGACGACTGCTGCCCTTTGACCTTCCCCTCTCCCAAGGCCCACCTGCGCCGATTCACGCTTTCCACGACACCCTTTGTATGGGCCAGAGCGTCGACTATGGCTTGACGAAGAGGGCCAGTTATTTCTCGCAGAAGCGGTAGAATGTCCTCGGGACGGATGGAGTACTTTGACTCGGCTTCGCGGTTCAGCGCACTATACAGCTGGAGGAGGAGCTGCGTGTCCGGCGAGGCGTCCCTGTTGGCCGAAAGTCCCGCGGCGTGATCTGCACGGACAGAGGCACCCTCGAACGTCGACGCCGACTCGCTCGTCTCGGCCGTGCGGGGGATCCGGGGCACGTCCGAGTCCTTCTCCTGGCTTCGCAGCAGCAGACGCGAGAGGGTCTGCAGGCTGATCGCCCGCACCGTGAGCAGCCGGAGAGGCTCCGCCAGGGCCTTCACATCCTTGCTGTTCCATTTCCCGTAGCTGAACTCGAGGTCGACGAACATCGTCTTGGCGTCCAGCTGCTGCAGGCCCCCGATGGCTTGCGCCCTCAGGCCGTCGATTTTGCTTTTTGCCGCCTGTAGGCCTTCTTGTTGTGCTTTTGCGCCAGGCTTGGTCTCCGTCTCGTTAGGAATGTCCTCTCCTGCACCGGCACATAAGACGTCCTCCTGAACGCTCACCAAGCTCCCGCAGATCCCTAACACGGACTCCACCCCTTCCAGGTAGGAATGGGCCATGGTTTCGGGGAATACGAGAAGGATCATGATACACGCAATCCCTGTATAGGCTGCAGAAGAGATAAGAACGGAATTGAGGAGGGTGTATTGAGCGAAAGGGAAGAGGGGTGCGTAGGACTGCGCTTGGACGTCAGGCTAAAAGGCATTAGAGGGGGTGAACGCCCACTTACGCAGAATATGTCGATACCAATAGTTGCGAACAAGGACATGAACATGAGCTTCGGGATGTACGCGCGGAGGAGCGCAAATAGAAAGTTGCACACGCCGAGGAAGACGCCATAGACCACAGTTGATCTTGAAAGACATCAACGTCGGACTATAGGGCATCAGAGGAGAATGGACGTACCGAGGATCGAGAAAGTAACCGTGGAAGATGTCGATCCGGTAGAGGGCATCAGGATTAGAGAGACCAGCAGCACTGAGGGGATATGAGAACAGAGTGAGATGAGTGGTGGTAGGTAGATACCTTTCCTGGACCTTTTGAAAAGCGTGCTGGAGAAGAACCTGGTCACGCGCTGCGAGTGATGCTCGCATTGCCGCGGCACCGAACGCCCAGCCAAGGAGCAGGCCAATGTAGAGCATGGCGATGGCCTGAGCGGATGCGAGAATCAGAGCGTGACTGAACGCGAGGCCATACAGGACAACGTACGAAGATGAACATTTGCACTGGCATATTTGGCGGAAGCATCAGGCTGACCAGTACTGAAAAGAAAGCCCTTCGAGGACGTGTTAGCCGCGGCGGGAGCTGGAGAGCACGAAACTCACGCATTCCCAAGAGTTTGGAGTGATTTATCCGGGAGCAGGAGGACGAACGCGAGCCAGGACGCGAGCCAGCATCTGAACAACAGCTTGAGTGACTTTGGCGAGCGGACATTTTGGGTTATCCACGCAGGGAAAGGGGTGAGTTGCATGCCGACGGGCGTGGCGCTCTGCAGCCGTCACTGGCTTTTAAGTCAGGCGTCACTCCGCCTGTCCTCGGGCCTTGTGAGCCTTACCCGGTCCCTGACGTGTTGCGGCTGACGCGCGTCGCGTGGCGTGCACAGCCACTCCCTTCGATCGAACCCGGCGACGTCACTGCCGGCTCGATACATCCTGTCAGGCATTCCAAGCAGGCAGTCCGCGTGTGCGTTTGCTCAAGACGCGTTCCTTGCGAACTGAACCGACGAACCGCCGCCAATCGCGTCGACGACGACATCACGCCTTGGCAGGTCTTCATCGCGATGAATGGAGCGGGATTGGTAAGCACGGAAGGTGGGACAAATGAGTCGACGTCCGCGGCATCGCGCACGATTGCCCATCGCATCACCAGCGAACCGCCGCTCCCCCCGACCGCAGGAGCTGGAGGCAGACCACTGCGTTCCGTTCCTAGCTGCATATAGTGGCCCCGGTGCTGCGCCCTCGACGACTCTGACATGCGCGTCGGCATTGCTTCCAGGCGGCACTCGTGATTCCCAACGGCCGGCCCTGTCCACGTCTGGGCAGTACCTATGACTCCAGTCTCGCATGGTATGTCTCATCCAGCGTCCCACTATCACAAATTGCATTCAATAACATCACTATGTATGTCAAGATCTAACCGACTACGAGAGTCCAAGAAAAAAAACATTCGAGCGAAAGGACGGGCAGAGTGAGTGCCGATTGTGAGAAGGAATCCGCAGGGGCATGGTTGGAGGGCCGACACTTGTGAGTCTCCCCTCCTTACGCATCGGCACAGCGCTCGCGTATCGCCGCAGCACAGGCTCCCACTCTCCTGGCAACGACACGACCGACGGCGTTCGGACGCGACGCGGGAATCGACAGATCCGTCGTATCGTGTCCAGCCCACGCAGCTCCCCTCGTACGCGCGATCACCAGGCTTGCACGGCGATCGGCACAGCGCTGTCGCGGGTCCGACGTCGATGGCCGTGGCCGTCGCGCCTTCACGCAGGTCGCCGGAGGCATGACCGCTGGCGCTCGCTGTGCTGATTGCTACAAACGGGATACCGACGGTGGGGGGGCGGCCCAGCGTCTATGCCAGCGCCTGCTGCTCCACGTGCGCCAGCTATTTCGCTGTGTCGACGGCGTCGCGGCGGACGTTGTGTCCATCTCGCTCTCGCTGCCCTGTGTCGCTTCGTCCACTGTAGCTACGGGATTGTAATAGTTGGACCAGGTCAGCCAGTACTGTTTGTTTGGGTCCAAAGATGTAATGTAGACGTTCGTCTAAGCGGGTACTCGACGGAGCTCCCGCAGCCTAGTTGATCTACACAGACGGCAAGTGGGTTACGTGCAACCCGAATGTGAGGCTGCGTGCAATATCTACATACCTGGGCATATTTCAAGGTACATACGTGAACCTACGCATTCTAGTGCGCGATCAACGCCGAGCGTGCCTGGTCACGGCTGTAGGCATTTACGTCGACAGCATTCCGTCTAGGGGCAAACGTCGGGTGGGATTAATCGACGGCTTGCATACGCCACCAGGATATACATACCGATGTCCTCCCTGAGATATGTAGAGACTAACTAGCTAGCTAGTCGTACTCGAAATCAGCATCCGGGTTATTGAGTAACAAATCGGTCGGATCACTGACATCGCGGCACAAGACGATTGCCGTGCTTACGAGCACGGGCTGCACATTTTCTAGCAGGGGGCTCGCAATACACGCGCAGCGCCGGTCCCATATTCAAGCACGACCTGCAGCGTCCTGAGGTAAAGGATGAGAGCGGGGATTGATAAACCGACGAACACATACCATTTCAGTCACACCCCTTGACGTCGCCTGCTGATACAGCGACTTGCATCGGCGGAGCCGCTGCCGCTGACACGCTAACGGAGAACGCATAGTACGATACGAACGAACGAGCAAGCGGTCGGCATGGTAGCTTTGATAATACCCTACATAACACAGTCAGTACGATATATATGACAAGTAATAAGTGAGAAATGACATACCGGCTATACAGGATTGGGCGCGAGCACTGACAAGGACAGGTTGTAAGGGGAGTCAGACAGCATACAAGAGCGCAAATGAAGCTTACCAATGGCGAACGCGTTGTAGCCACTGTATAGACGGAAAACGTTGAGTTGCCGAGGACAGGATACACTCAATACGTAGAGTAAGACCTGACGGAGCAAAAGGCGGGTCAAACGATGTCTAGCGGCGCAAATGCAGGTTACCAACGATGAATGCGTCGTGCTCATCGCAGGGATAGCAACGGCCGAACTGGACGAGGGGAGTACTGACGAAAGAATGGAGAGGGACGAGGATGGCGACTTTGAGTGCCAACCCTCAGCATTTATGCGCGCCGAAGACTTGAGGGCAAGCCTTCCGAATCCAACCCTTCCAGAGCAAAAATGCGCGATCTCGCGGCTGAAACGCAACAAGTCCGCGCCGTAATCACGGTGAGAATTCCCCTGGACGGGGACTTTCGCATAGCGGCGCGGAATTAGTGTCTTTGTGCATCGTATTTCCTGGCGTCTGGGTGCATCGGTAGCGTCGGGCCCGTCGGCGGCCGCCCCGCTGTCTTGTAGGATACTGGAGCAGGTAGCATGATTATAGGACACATCCAAAGTCGCAGATAGCGAGGGCATCGCGACGTTGTATTGTCGAGGCAGTCAGGTAGATACGGAGCCACGCACGTACATCGCGCATCGTCACCATTTACGAGCTCAGCCAACATAGTACGGCGCGCCGCAGCGGTCTCGCCTATTCACATAGATCCGACGGCCAAGGTCCCCGTACATTGTCCTCCCGTAAGGATGACACTGAGCACGACGGTAGCTTCTAGATGCGGATAGTCAGCAATGCACGGGCGATCATCACACATCGCCCCACTCGCCGGATCAATTCAAGTTGAATGGCATTTGTGCCGTCGTGTAAGCGCAGTGTCAGACGCATCCGATGAACGGCGCGAGGAACGTAAGTGGCCCTGAGCTTTCTAGCAGGGCAACTGTCAATCTGGAATCAGTCCAAGCCCCCGCTACGAATGCTCACCCGAGTGACGACAGAAACAAGCCTAACTAGGCTTGCGACTGTAGACGGAGTCGCGAGCCTAGCTAGGCTCGGAAACCTTATTTGCCCACCCCACGTTAATGCCCCACCTGTTTCCTACCCCACCTGTGCTCTCTAACTTACGAGCCAGAGTCCCTTGTATCTAGTGTACGTAGCACTGCCCAGCGTGTATAATAACCGCTGCCCTCTGTCGCCCACATCCCCGCCCTTGCTGTCTCCCCCGACGACCACACTGCTGCCCGGGCCAACTCTCGTAAGGGTCTGGTAATAGACCCCAACCCTAAGATGCTGCCCACGTGTCCCGCCATGTCACTGCCGCGTTCGTCGGCGCATCCCGCCTCTGTCGCTGTCCACCGACCCGTCGTCGTCGGCAACAACGACGAGCACGACTTCTTGCTTATATATAGTCGTAAAAATGTACAATAAATCTCATTAAATACAGAAAATTTGTGACATTGACTGGACATATCAGTGCTGTCAATTGAGTGCTGCTATCGAGTGTCGCGATCGCCATAGACCCCGAGCTCGTCGCGCCCGTCGGCGGCAGCAGCAGTGGCCCTCAAACTAATGGACAGACATATTGTTAATCATGCGCTCAAATCTCAAGTCATCTGTACACATTCGAGATGACCGTATATGTATATGTGCATTCTCACCTTTCTCGTAGTGTACATACCACAGGATAGAAATCAGCAAGAGTGACGGGTGCTCTCAGGTGAAGGGAATGCCCAAAGCATCATCTCAACAGCGCAGTACTACCTAGAGGTCGTGAAGAGCGCCATAGAAATGATCCTGGAGTACCTAGTGCGCAGAAGCAACCACGAGAGTGGAAGTGAGTGCAAGGAAGAGCAGAAAAGAACACAAAAGACAATGGCTAAAGAGAGCAAGAATAATAGAAGAGCCTTAAATATCAGGCCCTGTAATGCCTCGAAATGTGCGACTGAACCTGGAGGAGAACTGTACGATGGGAGGGGAAAAGGTGCGAACGTACAGGCAGAAGTGCAAGCACACTAACAGTAGGTACTCACTATTAGCCATTAGCCCATGTTCATAATATCCCGTCCGCTCAATGAAATTCAAACACGTAGCGAATGTCAGAGAGGCTGAAGAGGGGATACGTGCAGGTGTCGAAGATATGCTCACCGAGTCGTGGCCAGAGGGTAGGAACCTTACATTAGAGCCTTATACAGTCCCCAATGTACCATTAGTTATCCATTTAACGCGGTGCCATCGCAGTATAGACGGTTACTTACCTATAGCCTGCGTTTGATTCGTCGCCGTGCACTGGTTGATGTCCATAAGCCTTGAATATTTCCCATGGGTTGCGAGAAATATCAGAACATTGCGAGCGAGATATACGGCTGAATCAGCCCAGTGGAATAGCTGGCACGGGTGACGAGGTCAGGTTCGAAGGCGCCATGACGGCAGGAAGCATGTATTCGGACAGAACGCGGACGGCGCTGGTGGCGCGAGCTCTCATCTACATTCCTCTCATGAACTCTGATGTCGACATGTCTACGCTCGCTACGTGCACGTTCATACATATTGACGTTCGCGCTTCTCTCGCTGCTACGACGTATTCGTATTTGGAAGGGCTATACGATTGCTCGGAAGCCGGTGGATTAACATGCGGTAGGATGACGGGTGGGATCCAAGTACAC